AATTGACATTATTATTACTATTTTTTGCATTGGAAGGAGATTTTCAATTCCTTTGCGTATTGAAAAGTGAAGAGTGCAAGGGAAAATTTATTTCAGTTGATATTGACATTTGTCTCTTGTTTTTTTAATAAAAGCGATATTTTATTATGCGATGGAGATCTGGTGTTGTGTATTTTTCCTCCCGTGGTTTTTGCAGATTCCAAAATGTCGTGCTATGAAAAAATTGAGTAGGAGATTCTGCTGAAAAGAGATTTTAGTGATCAAGTGGCAAAACGAAAAAAATCAAATTTTCCACTCTCTAAACGTCGATTAATCTCCATAAATATTAATTTTACGAAAAAACCCGAAAAGACCATTTCCATCTGAAATTTAATTGGCTATAAAAAAGTTCCTTACGGTTTCCGTCTTGAGCTGACAGTTTTCGAGATAAATCAATGCGTTTTACCAAAAAATTTTTAGTTCGACTGATCTAATTTTTTCTACTGAATTTTTATTGACTGCCTTTTCGTTCCTGTTCGTTAGATTAAATTTCTCTAGGTGTTGTAGCGTCCCGAGAGCTTCGAAATGACTGGGAAATGGATTTGTTGATGAGTATTGTAACAAAGGAGGAAAATATTTTCCCTGACAGTTGCGTAATAAAGAAAAATCGTGAATTTCCTCACCACACACTCCACGCCCATTAAGTACTTCAGATCATTATCAGTTTATGATCATTGATCATAGAGTCAGCCACCAAAAATGATAGAATCGTTGAAAATGAGAGGGAGGGGGGTGGATATGTTTGCGTGAGAGTCTCACAAGTTGAAAACCCTCTCGTTATATTATTGTGTCCAACCTGTGAGACCTCCGGGGACACTTGACCCACTTCCTCCATTTCTGATGCAGTTGTACATTTTTTCACACCCTCGTGGGTATTAAACCCTGTCGAAAATTAATCAAATCAACATCATGAACATTTATCCTAAAAACGCCTGGAAAAATTCAAGAGAACAACTTGACGGTTAAATATTAACGAATTAGTTACTATCTTTGGATTTTTGATGTTCATCATACATGGGTTTATTTATTTGTTCGAATTGAAAACTCCATTGTCATTCCAGTGATTCTTCGAGGGAATCAATTTTTTTCACTTGCGCTGATTCTATGAATATTTGATAGAGCAAAATCGGTATATTTAAATTTTCTTTGAAGAATATTTTGTTGGAATTTTTCCTGTGTGAATATAATGATTTTAGCGAAATGTACCAGCAAAGAAAATGAAAAATTCGGGGTTAATAATTTTAATCTAAAAAATCCTAGTAGAAAAAATTAGAAGCGAAGGGTAGAAGAGCGCATTTTTTTCGGCAGCTTTTGATTGATATCTTGGAATCGAAGGACAATATCGATATGCCTCTATCTACATTATTTATAGAGAAAAGTAAGGGGTACAAAAAAGATATTAACAAAAATATCGGTGTGTTCCTTCAGTTCCAAGGTATTGGCTGAAAACTCATCTAAAAAGTGCATGGATTCTCGTTCGCTGTTTCGCGATTGAAATTGGAGCAGACAAAAT